TTATGTTCAGATGATTCAAACTAGTAAATCCAGTAAGGTCATTTTTGTTAGGACTGCTGTACTCATTATTTGCCTCGGACTTAATAATATTCGTCAACATCACAGTCTACCTCTACTTTCATGGCTACTGGTCATTTTTGGATTGATACGGTGTCGTAGCTGCCTTGTCTGATCCTGTTCAAGGAAGTCAAAAGGTGATTCCATTCGCAGAGTAGTTCTTAAAGTCGTGTGATACAGGAGATACACTGTTTTGGATGAAATACCCCACCAGAAGACAACGCACAAGTAGAGAAGAACGTCCTAATCAAGGGACTCAATTTCAACCTGGAACACCCAGCTAGAGTAGTAGCAGCAAGGAAGTACACTCAACTTAATGAGGACGCTCAACAGCATCCTCGCCAAACCGCAGTTCTAGCCGTTACACGCAACAAAGTATTTAGTGTCTTGTCAAGCAAAGGAAAGGAGGCAGTGAACAAGCCAAAGAAAGACCACAATCGTCATTCTCTGAGGTGACAAGTGAGGCCTGATGGTCGTCATGGAGAAGCCGGAACTGCATCATTAAAATGAAATCTATATTGAACAACATGAGTCTGTATCGCCGCATTGAGAACCACCAAAGCAAAAATCTTGAGAACGAAATCAATAAAAACCGGAAAAACTCCAAGAGCTTCAAAGGATTACAAGACGACAGTACTGGGAAATGAGAGCTCAGGACTCGATCATTTTCTCCTCTGCGTACGGCCGAAAGTATGTGGAGAGATAACAATGTAACGACGAATCATATAACCTCCGATGACTTTTAATTACAGCCTGTCAAATGAATTTTGTAGAAGGCTGAAAAATATCATCAGTGGGTGGCAATGCTCAGTCAGCAATGCAAAACAATTCTTTGGAAAAATGAGGAATACAAACATTAGAGAGGGTGAAATAATGGTTTTGTCTGATATGCTTACTAATCATGTTGGTAGGCCTGAGTTCCATGAAGAAAATTGTTGCCAAACTACTTAATGTACCTGGCGTACCAAATGGATCCCTGGAAAAGGGAGACCTCTGGGAAGCGCTTAGGTCATGCCTAACCTAATATTTTGAAATCAGCGGAGTACACTATGAAGAACAACGAGTGGCTCCGGCGGGAACTCCGACTTCCGGATTTCATACAAAAATGCAATGCAATATCCGAAACAAAATTTACCTCCGGACTTAAAACTCAGTTTATGGATTGGCTACGTGAACAATACTTTTGTCGGCATAAAAGCAATGAAATACAATGGATAAGTCAACTAATAAAGAGCTTTTTTGACGATGTTCAATCTACATTGGAAGAACAACCTAATCAAAAACTGGCATTCTTAGGTCATCTCACAACCGGGATGTCAAACGGACAGCTACAGACATAAGCCTACGGAAAGGTAACTCATACAGACCGGATTCTCAGGTACTATGGAAAATTTCAAACTGTCCCAAAATAACCGCCTCCGGACAGTTTTCACTATAGCGTCAAAAGTCATAAAAACGGAACGATTGTACGAAGCTTTTCAGAGAAACCCAAGAAACCTTATCTGGCGGACCTCAGAAAATATAATTTAGCAACCTACAAGCACAAGGGTGAGGCAAACAGGTAACACCTCCATGCATCAGGAACATTTCGGAAATGACTGCACACCTGTTACGACATTGCGACACAACATGAACGACAAACCTGCGAGCATCCTGCGATAGTCACCGATAAGCGTAAGGGAAGGATTGGACACAATGATGAGGATCAGTGCCGTAAACAAGAATCAGTGCAGTGATTGCGACAAACACTAAGTAAGACCAGTAGGAAGGCAAGCAGAATACACAAACACGAAGTTGCACCCAACTTTCACTCTACTCCGCACCCGACGGTCAAGGTGGACGCAAATTCGACTGGAGATACGTTCGCATATTTGTACAAGCAACAACAAAGAGAGAACGGGCATCCATCCACTGAGAACACCCACCAAAAACATGAAAATCGACCAAGTCTATCGTACGCTGATGGGATGCGCACTACAAAACTACAGAAAGCAAAGCTGCTTGACAAACCGGAGGGAAATATATGGAAGAAACAGACAAATCAGAACATCCAGGGGGTTATTCCACTTTCCTGGATCAGGATCGCACCAAATGGGGTCATCAAGGGCGAAGGACTCAGCAAAGAGAGGTAACAAATCCACCATTAAGACGCACCCAAATCGGCCAACACAAGAATATCAAGAGAAAAAGCGCGACTGGCAAATTGAGCTAAAGATGAGACTAAGATGCGAACTAAGCGCAGAGCAATCAAACCGAAGAAATCACAGAAGGCCAAAGCGGTCAACCAAGTTCAAAATGCAGTATAACCGAGAGAGAACCTAAAGCCACCAAAGAGCTACCTAACAAACCAGTGGAATACCAAATACACAGGCCATAACGCAGCGCGAATTGCGGACGGACCAATAAGAGTACAAGAAGGGTACATATCCATAGACTACTCGCATGGGACGTTATCAGGTACACTTTGGAAACTATATCGACGCATGTGAGGAGATGTCTCCCCGATTGAGGATAAAACGTTTACAAGCTACTTGCCAAGTTTGGCTAACAGGTCCGGAGCCATCTGATCAGCCAAAAAGATGTAACTGTTGTGCTTCTTAACCTGTTGATAAGTACTGCAAACTATTGTCCATTCTCATTGGCAAGTGTGATCTGATTGTTAAAACAATGCTACCGTTTGTATCACTGGTTTTCAAGTGGGGCAGGTGAGATACCATGATGTGGAGATAGTAAACACTGGGATAGTAATTGTTCTCCAACTCCTCCAATTCTAAACCATTTAATTACTCTGCTTACTCATTTTCCGTTATTTTTGATCTAGTGATAGGTGTCCCACCACAGAACTTGTATAAGTACTATTTCAAGCTAATTTGCTAATTTCCATATGGATGAGGACTAAGTTTTTTGCAAAATTTATCGGCTGTACCTGGTGTCAGTGAAAAAAATAGGGTTCTCTGTGTCCCTACTAAGATCGTTCTAGGGTTACGCATGTCGCATATTCCTCAAGAAGCATACAAGCTTCAGAGGGGTTTGGTAAACAATCGGTGGATTTATTTTTGTTTTGTTTTTATTTTGTTTACCACACCCCACTGAAGAGATGACTTCCCAATCGGTCCCAAATCTTTTCCAATTGATTGAAAAGCATACAAGCTGAAAATATTCAGTGTCGTCTCTTGAAACATCAGTCCGATACAATGGCAACTAAGCAGTCGCCAAGGCTAATGGGCCAGATGAAAGAAGAGCCGACTGATCGAAAAAAAATTGTACTATGGTTTCACATTTTCTAGCCCAGCCTGAGATGATATGCATGTATATAAATCGCAAGGCAATGTAGCCTAGACTGATTTTACACTGGAGTTTTCTTTACCAGAGTGACAATTACCATGTTTCTGTTTCTATTTACTCTACTGTTGACTGTGCCAAATAGTGGGCTTGTTTATTACGGTACTGGACTTGGTTAGTCCCGTCGCATGTCTCACACTTGCCCTCTAAGTGATTTACTGTTTATGAGGTCAGTCTTGGAAAGCTTTCTTCCGTTGAAAAGACTCTTCTACCAGATTTTGAATTAAATTCTTCAAGAAAACTTAGGGAATGACAACAAACGTTATGCCAGCAGGTAGAACCAAAAATGGACATGCACATCACAGTTACTGTCAGGGTGGAACCGCGTCAGAATGATCCTGATCAACACACCATTCTTACAGTATTTTTTTTCAATTTATGCACTCATCGTACAGCCTTCTTGAAAACTAGGATTTTCGGTTGCTGACGCAAATACTGTCTGTTACGTAAATATGGCAAGAAGGAGAGAGAAGTGGCACGGGATACGCATCTTCTTTATCATCCGAAGCCAAGAGAGAGCACCCATCAATAGGCATTTTAATCCAAACACGAAATATTGCTGTATACAAATTATTGACTCTTCTCCTCCGTGCTTTCATTAGTTTTGACAGGGTGTCGAATATGGAACACATTCTCCGGTATTTTCGATATCCTGAGACATGGCCGGACGTTTTTCACAGCACAAGTAGTCGAAAAACATAAATGGCGTATTCATTTGAGTATCACTTCATCCATACCTTGAATCCGCTTTATTTGAAACGAGTTTCTCACCGTATATCTGTCTGCACTCATGTACAAGTGCGAAAAATAGGTTTGGTGAGACTCTGGGGCAAGATAAGTCCCAAAGTTGTGGACTATAGGAATGTAGCGTCATCCCAGAGTTTGGATGGACATGTGACCGTCCTCTATATTATGCGTCTATTGGTCCATGCTGGGCAATTCTGCGATGGGTTTTAAGGTGCGGGAGGCACAAACGAAAGGCTGCTTTCATGTGACTAACAATAGGTAATCAACAATAGACAGCAAATCAACAAAAATGTAGCTGTAAGTCTGAAACCTAATATATGTTTTATCCAATTTAGCGACGCTGGGAGTCGACACGGATTACGAGGTTGAACAGATTCGTGGAGGTTCTTTGCTCGCAATACCTGCCAAAAGCGAGCAGTAAGAAAGAAGTGAAATAAAGCGCCTATTTGCACCGGGCAAATTACTCAGTAGTGTTTTCTCATCTACGTCTGCTAGGACGACGGCTTTGAGCGCAAAGTGGTAATCCACATCACTTCATTACTTTTTGGCCTTTCTACGATCAAAAGAGTACGAAATGCTTCGATTCCGTCATTTTCGTGTCATTCATAAGTAAAGTTTGATAAAAATAAGAATAACGGTTAGTGAGCAAAATTTTATTGCCAGTATAACCAAAGAGTTATAGGAAGAGTAAATAAAATGTGCAAAAATTAGTTCGGGGGATTTTCCGAAGCCATTGAAACTGCATGTTAATATTCAACAAAAGGCAAGTAAGTAATTCATGCATCACGGAGACTAGAGCATGTAGGTACACAAGTATTATTATGGATCCACAAACGACCTGTTGAAACGATAAGCTAATCCAGGTTGCAATGCTTTTCTTCATCGTAGGCATCCGGCGTGCACGCTTTGAAATAATTTAGTACAGAAGATAGTGGGGCGAACGGCGCACCGGGTGACTTGGACGTTGGTGGTTGAACTGGAGAAGCTAGCGGCCAAGCGACCGTTTGGTTGTTTACACGAGGAAGAACGAAGAATCCAGCAAGAGGATCACTCCCTTGCGGGGAAACTGAATATAGTAGAATAGATAGGGTCAGAATTATAGGTTGATTCAAAAGTTCCTTTGCATCTTCCAATGGCTTAATGCTGTTGTCCCATAACCAAAAAAGACGTCTGGTGGCTCACGGGGGGAGTTTTGCGAACATTTCTGAAGATAAATAGTGCCACGGCAAGATACAATACGGAATATTCTACAGTCCGTGAAAGAATCTGGTCGCACAGGAGAAACTGCATACAGAATTGGGACATAATATGTCCCATCATTTGCTTCTTATGAGCAAGCTGAAGGAGCAGAGTGTGGCTAAATAAAAGACGTGTTTTTGACTTAAAAGAAAGAAAGTGGTCATCGAGGTAGACGTGTTATTACGGCTACCCATTATTTTGTATACCACTGCCCATCACAAATTTAAGACATCCGTATTCGGGGCGAATTTACGGAGCCGTGGTTGTCAAAAGAACGCTCGTGACCGGATGCCAAACAGTGTAGCACAACCAGGCCAAAACGAGAGGATTTAGGTATTTGTTTACTTTGCCCGCCATTCCATACTTTCAGCTTCGACATTTTTAGACACAGTTATTAGCGGTTTCTTCCGAGATTTCGCAGACATTTACTTTCTAGTTTATCTTGGTTCTTTTCAGGAGCCTCTCGATGAATTTGTATAGCATTTGGTCACTCTCTCACTTTGATCGCAATCCATTCTCTAAACATTCCCATCCATTTCGCTAGCAAGCTGGCAAGTGTTCGATAATAGACCACTCACACTGTATATAAAAGTTCCGTTCCAATGCAGCCTTTATTCGAATAATCACCTTCAAATTATCACCCAGATAAATTTCGACCGTAGTGGTACGCTGTGTAGTACCAGTAGTTTACGAATAAAATACCAAAGACACAGAGGGATTCGGTAACTAACTAAGATTATTTAGGCCGATCAACGGTTTGAAAATCGTGATTTGTGCTTGGGATGGAGGTGAGAAAATTGATAGGTGTTTGCAATACAGTACCTGCCTCGAAAAAGTAAGAACTGAGTAACACGACAAGCTGCCTGTAAGTGGGTTGTAGGCAGCCATGTTGAATTCATGATGTAACATCAAAACACCAGACATATTTGTGGATCAAAATTTTATATTCTTCCAGATTCATACGTTCAGATCTATCAAGTTATTTAAACAGAAATGGCCGAAAATGATCGTCTGCTGCGTGCATTTGTACATTATCCTAAGTTTTATCGAGGAATCAATGAGTTAACGACTTTTTTGTTTATTCAGTGGGGAGATACTACAGTTGAGAAAATACTACTCACCTTCGTTTGGACAGTGATACAATTCGAGCATTAGATTTCCTGCAAAAGGAATGATATGACCAGCCCGGAAGGTTGTAGGTAATGGTGGACTAGTGCGCACTCTGCTCAGCCATCCATTAAATCCGTCGGCATATAGTATCTCACTTTCTTCTTTACCCACTGAGTCATTGAACAGTCCCAGGAGAGTAGTCACCGGTAAGAGAGTCTCAGCATGACCAAACCAAAATGAAGCCCGGTGGACTCCCGCGTGTGATCTGTTCACCGGAAGAGATAAAAAACGAGAGTGGAGGACAGAGGACGAATTTTACTAAGTTGGCATCGTTCTTATCAGCTTATTATCACAACGAATCCCATGGGATTTCGGGAGGAATATTTTCTTGAATTGTTCAGGAGGTTTTAAGCAAAGCGACTTAGACGTAGAAGACCCAAGTTTGGATCGGCCATTTTGTAAAAGACTGGATGAAACGAGAAACGGCCGTGGCCTCAGCAGAAACACTGCATGGACAGCTGACAGAGGTCGTGTGCTTTCAACGAGTACATGTTTGGTGTAATATATTACCAGAGCAAAAATTTGGTTGTATTTTAGAGTACCGGAGTGCCGTCAAGTAAAGCGTTCGGTACAGTAGAGCAGACCAACCAGCAAAAGTTCACACATCAAATGTTGATATCTTTCTTGAGGTCCAACAAGAGACAAAAGTCCAGAGTGTCACTGTAAAATAACATTACAAAAATCGTCATTGGCGATGTATAACCACCGGCCTTTGTAGCGATGACTTGAGCAGTGGCATCGAATGGCTAAATTAGGATATTCTACCGAAAAGCGACGCCGTACCAGTATATTGATTTGAGGTAAAAGTTATGATATCATGACCAACTTTATCTGATTTCCTTTGCTAACGACTCAGCAAGCATCAGATCATGCGTGGTACCCGTAGAAACCTAGAAGCACTAGTGCTCAGATTCCCAATAATTTTCAACACATACGTCTGATCCGATGACATCAAGGAACTTCACTGGCTTCACACGCAAGTCAGGCAAAGGTTTGATGGCTCCCAAGTTAGTTTTTTCAGTTCTAGAGCTTTATTCCTAAAAGTAGAACCCGTAAGGCTGTGGCCATCCAATCTAAGTGTCTGTTATACAGTAGGAAGTAAGAATGGAAAAAATGCAATCAAAAGGTCTAGATAGACCAATTATCAGATTTCAATGACTGAAATTTCTGCACTGTGGCTGGATCATCAAGTAAATAAAGATAAACGTTAAATACAACGACTTGCCTCTCATCAGACGAATGTGAAAGCCCTGCTATTCAGCTGCGCATCAGCGTAAAATGTGGGGAACCTGTCCAACTTGGCATATTTGAAATTAGGATTGAGAAAAAGGCTTTCTTTCCGCCTAAAAAGTATTTATAGAGCAGTAACAGCATCGATCGATTCGCCCTAGAAATCGCTCAGATCTCCGTCTTGTTTCTAGCTCAGATTTACCGTTCCCACTGGAACACTCCCGGCCCTAAAACCTGAATATCGGCAGAGGATAGCACATTTACATCTGGAAAAGTACACCGCGTTTATCTACTGCCTCGTTTCCTGAGCGCCTTCCAGATTCAGCTTTTCCTCTTGACAAGAGATGTATCTGGCAGCATGCTAATCAGGTCGTAATGGTTTGCATTGCAGTGGCTCTCCCCACAGGAGACGATTCATCTAATTGGCGGATTTTGGTGTCAATATGGAATCACAAACATAAGCTTATGAAAAAACAAGCTAGTCGTTCCATCGCCAACCTTCTAAATCTAAATTAATTCACATCATTTTTTCAGGCATTAATAGGAAGCCAGCAGTTCGAGATATCTACCCACTTCCAAACCGGTTGGATAACATGGTCATGTACCAGGGAGAGCAGCTGGTTTTAACCTTGGTACTACAGTGAGGCGTGGAACACCATGATCATACTATTATGTTTTAATGCAAATAATTTGCCTATTATGCGATAAGAATGGTGCGAATACACTCACATGTTAAAATTGTTTCGTTTATAGCTTAGAGCAGCTTCACGAATCTCTCGTAACATTTCCGCGACGAGGGGGCATGCATGGATATAGTTCAACTCACGTCCGTAGGCTCTGAGCCAGTAGTGCTGAGAATGTAAAACAGAAGCGATAAGATGTACGTCAGCCACATGGTTTCGAGGTAGTATCCCCGTTAATCTCTTTAATGGCAAGCTCGTAAATGATTGCCATCATTATTTCCCTTGGATTTATGATGTCAACTGGTCTGCATCGAAAATATTTCAGACAGGGTGCGCTGAATCATAAAGTTCTGTTAAGTGTGGCGTCACTTAATGGGTGGCAACATCATCACAGACACTTGTTGGGACAAAAATGTCCAATTTCAACTGTTTACGATGATAAAAGTTTGAGTCCTGCCGTTCGCTGAAAATCAACGTGGACCGTATTTTTTTTTCACGTCGTACTATATTTCTCCATTTGTCGTTCTCTTAAACAATCGTTGTGGAATTCATACCGCAACCAACATTACCGCGTTTCCGTATCGGATATTGGGCTAACCAAAACGAACCAATATTACTCTGACTGAGGAGTCATGAAAAGAAGCGGAAGCAAAGTACCATTTATAGCCCACCTGTAATTGATTAGATGTTTGGACGCCCTGCACAAATGTAGTTCCTGTTTGTTCTTTCCTAAGACTGATGTGTGAAAATTTGCACTTCAACTGCTATAAACAATATTATAGAGTTCGGGATATTTTGGTCAAAGGAGTGCAGAAATTCACGATCGCACAACTTTTTTATTCACATTCTTTTCATCAACCCCGTTTACTGCAACGGCGGCTTTTGGACTCTAGCGAAGATTTTCGCCGTTAAGCGATAATCACATTTTTCAAAATATATTGCGCTAGATGCCGTACCTACTCCTGTCAGTAAGCTGTTCCATTTGGTAAAGGTTGCTACCCATGCATTTGTTGCCATGTAATAAAGGAACAGGCACTGACCGGCTTCCTCGCATATTTGCGGAGATAAACAAAGAGAAAGGAAGCGTCTTCGGAAGTTTGAAAAAACATCTAAAACGGTCGGAAAAGGGTAACTTCTCAATCGGTTCCGAGTGTTTCCAACCGACACGAAACGAAATTCTTTGACTGACTGAGTGGTTGAGTGGAAAATTCAACCGGGCCACATACAAAATGCCGCACATTTTGTTTGTATGTATTTAGCCCGTAAACGGTGAACTCACCGGGATTCTGGGCAGGCTTTTCACATTCGCCGATGAACACAGGCCCACGAAAGAAAATTCCAGAGTTCGTTTTGGGTTGAATCTGCATTTAAGCGAGCGCTCTTTGTATAGTGTAAAGCCGAAGGAATAAAATTGGAAGGTGAACAGAAGGCGGTTCTAAAGCCATCAGCATTTCCAACTACTAACCAATAAGTTTCAAGTTGAATGGGTGCATCTGAAATGGTGGGACAACAGTGTGCATCAGGGGACATCTGGTGGTACACGCCATTCAGGAGAAGCATTTCAGGCACACACGTATTGCTGAGTTCAAAAGCACCAACGAAATCAGGCAAACCTGTCGTATAACTGGATCAATCCCGAGCTCTGTTGCCTCTTCGTCGTATGGTTAGACTCAAGCCTTTACCAAGAGGTAATGTGTCTCAATGAGGTTTGTCAGTTTACCAAAGATGCCGTCAGCTTAGTGGAGTAATCACGATAATTTAGGACCAATTGAATCAAACGCAGCCCGGAAGTCGATTAAATATGGCATGTTAGAGTGAAATTTCAACAATATTCTGAAGTTTGCTCGGCCAAAGAACTTTTTCCTGGACGTAACCCTCTTTGGTTTGGCCTTGTGATGCACAAAACGTTTGGAGAGGACGTTATAACAGAAAGGATGCGAAAATTTCTGCAGTTACACCAATGATGGTATACCGCGATAATCTATCGTGGCATCTGTCTATCACTTTTTGGGGGATCATTGATAAAATTGAATTAAGCCGATCACGCGGAACAGATTCAATTTTCCAGCTTGACTGAAAGTGTCTGTGGAGTGGTTCGAGAAATACAGGGATGCAATTTTCACAGAACTCAGTAGAGAGCCCGTATCATTCGAGAGGTTTTTTGTCATTTATTATTTTGACTATCGCGGTTATCTCCGGTGTATTTGGCTCTTCACAGTTGCCATCGCATGATTTTGGGACTGGACTGGTCGTGAGGGCGAGTTTTCGTCACCGTTTAACAGCTGTTTAAATTACTCCGCCCATCGTTTCATTTTCCTGTCGTAGTTGTTGAGTAACCATTCACCGACAGGAAGTAGCTAATACATTGAAAACAAAGGGCTTCTTGGAACCACTTTATGGACAGAAAAGTATTGCCGAAATCACCAGTGTTTGAAACGGATACCTTGTCTAATGCTATTTCGACCACTGTGAAATGCAACCTCTCCTGACTGATCAAGTGGCCCTTCGGCAAAATGTAAGAAGGGAACTGATTTAGTGATACGCGCTACGGTCAACTTAGCAAGGTCATGTCACAGAGTCTGGAGACTTATTTTATGGAGGTTTTCAAAGCTACCCGTAAAGCGTTTAAGTGATCCAACTGATCAGATCAAAGTTTATATCTGTTATCGTTCAATATGGCTGTCGTTGCACCGGAAACATGTCTTCCGAGTGGCTGAATGGCTCTGCGTTGAAGCGCATTACAGTACAAGTTTTTTGTCTAGCAACGAAGTAGAGTTTAATCCGTGCTCATTCAGGTATGAGATATAGATTTCCTACGTTTCCGGAGCCCGCACGTCTATAAGACTTATGATCTTTCACTGGTGAAGCACATAATGCGCACACCAGAATACAGTTCATGTGGGGGCTGCATGAACGTAGTTCAAATAACATCAGTAAGTCAAGTAGACCACGAGCGTTCCAACAACCAATGAATTGACCTCCACCTACATCCACAGCTTGCTTTTTGGCCATCCCATGTATTAGACCAGCACGGATTATATCGCAATCCGAGGTGACCGTAGCATGAACGAGATTGCATGTTAGAAATATTATTCTAAGGGTTTCGTGAGAATTTTACAGGTTGCGTACCAAGCGTCACCCGGTTTTCTTTACTGAGAGTGCACCTCTAGCATGTTCACAACCAAGTGCAATATGCAAGAAAGTAGGAAGCATACAGAGAACAGGTGATCAGCAATGTCTAGCACCTTCACAGTGCAAGGTCATGCTTCAAAATGTACAGTCTCTGGAAATACCGACTACAACTCATGGAGAATCACTGGAGGTTATGGAGAATTTTCCATACCTCGGTAGTTGTATCAGAATTCACAGAATTGTGTCTCATGAAGTAAGTACAAGACTCTCAAATGCTCGATCACGTCCGCTAATATGTGTCAGTTGCGGTGTCAAAATGGCGTCTCACTGGATCTTAAGGGTCGCGCACACTAAGCTACAATAAGGGCTGTGTTGTTTTATGGGTGCGAGACGTGGCCCTGCGGACAGATAACGTGAAGCGTCTTCAGGATTTTGGTCACTAATGCCCAAAATGCGTTGGTGTTGTCGGATGGCGTCCACGGATTAGTGACGAGGTATTTAAAAAACGGGAAGGTGTTTGTGCAGCGGGTACTTCAAACATGGGAAACATCCAGCACCACCAACTGCGGTGGCTTGGTCGTGTGCTACGCATGCCACAACACCATCTACCGAGACGTATGTTGTTCTCCGTACCTCCTTCAGAATGGTGCAAACCTCCAGATGGACAACTTATGTCTTGACAGAAGGGCGGTAGTCTTCCCGGAAGGAATCCTCATGACCCTACCTGTGCTTGGCTGGGGACCTTGCAAGAAACGGCGGCTGATAGATGTCAGTAGCGTTCTCGCTGTCAGTTTCTATCCAGATTGTCTGACTGAACTTTTGGAGATATGGGCACCTCAGAATGCTTGACACAGGCCAGCACAAGATCAACGAGTCTCTTTCTATTCAGTCCACTCTAGGGCCTATAGCATAAGGTAAAATTCATGGCTGTGCGGCAGCGAAGCATGGGTGTCAAATCTGCTCCCCTGGACAAGCAACCAGTCTGAACAGTGGACAAGGTGAGTGGCTTTTCTGCAGTTCGTCATGTCTGTATAATTGTCTCGCTCCAGCATGTTACTGATAATATGAACCTCGTTGGTTTTGGAACGTGTCATTTCGCTTTGTTTACCAGCGAGCTTACAACAGCAGGATTTGTGTTCAAAGAATGGCATGAAAAGTAATCTAGATATCACCAAGGTTACCACGATCGTTCAGGGTCAACAGCCATTGGCCTGGAAATATCCGTTAAAAGGCCATAAACTTGTCATAAACATGACTTTGCTAAATAGCTAGAGGATGTAGGAACTTGCTCATTATCTGCTTATATGGGGTTCTGATGGAAATATCTACTTTAGTTTGAATCACTAAGAAACTTCCAGCCAATGTTTTCTTGCCTGTACACGGTCTCTTTGAATTCGTAGTCAAAGCTCGGCTGGGTAGGGCTCGATTTCCCACAGTGTTCCGATAGTTAGTGCAGGTTAGTTCGGACGCCCACGGAGATTTCATTTTGCAACAGGCAATGCAAAATTTCATGGCCTTGAGTGATAATTACGTCAGTGTGTAGAGAAGACACATTGGAATAAGAAAGCTCTTACATTCGACTGTTATGATCAGACTACTTTTAACAACCTATTAAAAAATAAACACATACCAGTAGATATCAATCAAGCCCAGTTTATTTTGTCATTCGGGATTCCGATCAGCTTGGTCTTGACGACACACATCCATTGTAATTGAGACGTTGAGTTATTGAAAATTTTGTACGTTTTGTCCTTCCACAAATAATCAGCGAAAAAATACATCTCACTCCGTCAAATAATACATTCATCGTCATTCGTGGTCTACATGCGCTTCGCTGTTTCATCAATGAAGATTGGAGACTCTCTTGGTGGTGAAAGATAGCAAGATTACGTGGTTAAGTAGCGTGGTGCACTCACTCGCAAAGTAAGCCGGTGGTAGCGGGAGACACCCGTCTTAATTTATACAGCATATACATGTTCGATTACCGACAGGGGGCTTCTTACTAAGCGTGGAATAGCTAACGCCAAGTGCTAGTGACCATTTATTAGCTCTGTTTTGTGGAAAGTACGATATATACGGCAATCCTGAGCTGTTTCTTTCTGGAGACAGCATATGGGCATTTTCTGTATGACCCTACCTGACTGGGGAGTCCTGACTGGCGGGTTAATCGATCATCAAAACCAGTTACTGGGTCGTCGTTTGATTGCTCGGCCATACCAGTCACTTCGCTCAAGCGTGAACACGTTCGCCTGTTCAGATGTGAAAATTCAGATGCATCCAACGTGCGTTGGAGTAGCCGTAACACGCCTGCACCGCATGTCAGTTGTCCAGGGTCCAAATCCCGGCACAACCATCGGATATGCACTGCTGATGAGCTCTAATAAGAGCGAAGCTCGCGTCCAGTGCTTCGCTTTGGTGTGGACTCACCAGAATATTTACGCAAGAGCAGGAGGACGACCGTTCAAACGAGAGTGGTGTGAATATGCACAATAAAAAATGTTCTGCAAAACTTGAATTACGCCTGCAGTATTTGTTAGAAAGTATTTTTAAAAGGTCACCCTATTGCCTATTTATTGTTTTTTTCGAAGTGATTGAATTGGATATGGGTCTTCAATAATATACCATCACAAGACGTTCATTTGAATAAAGTAAATATCACCATCAGGTACCTTTAGATCCAGAATATATTCCAGGATGGGTTGATAGTTTTTACGTAGGAAACCACACCAAGGTGACTGGTCGTTGGAAAACACGGCAATTTCATAACCGCATATGCGAAACATGATGTATATGTCACCTGTAAAGAAAGAAGCTTGAGCTCGCCCGACTGAAAGACCAAAATCGAATAGTGCGGAAAATATTATGTTTGACACTTGCAAGTATTTTATATACAATGACCTTTTGCAGCTTAAACAGGCCTCGAACAAATGGGGACTACCCCTTCCATTCATTTTTTAATACCATCCTTGATATAGGCGAACTGGAAGGAAGATGGACAATTCTCTCCTTATTTTAACCCATTACTAGGCACAGAATCACCAGGTGTCCATTTAGATAACAGTTTGAAGTTATTACAGAAAATGAGTTCATCGACAGTTTTGTGTGGTTGGTGAACTTAAGACTGTTAAGCTGAGGCTCATATGTTCAATCCCTTTGTATGCAAGATGAATCCCAATGGAGAGGAAGGCGCTCGAGGGGTTTAAGTGAGCCCATCAATTTTTACTGTAAACACTCAACAAATTCTGAAGCTCATAGACGGTTAATTACTGGTTGCCGCAGAGGACACCATCTGACTACCTACCGGTAATTGGCCGGTTATTCGGAATGATCAGCAGTTACTTGGAAAAGCAATCACACATTGACACGATCCCTGGGCAGAAATGCAAACAATGCTCAGTACTGCAGCCAATGCTTACTAAGCTAAGAGAAGAGATATCCTAACAATCATTTTGGCCCTACTACTGCTGAAAAACGTGCTTCACTGTCGAAATACCGGTCGGTATGTTACGATCCACGAGGCTATTGATAGAGTGGAGACTCCGTGCTGATGCCCCGATTTGTTATGATCAGAATTAGTGAAAACCAGAGCACATGTGCGTCAGGTTCCTGGATGATGAACAGGACGAAAAGGAACACATCAAAAAATTTTTCAGGCTTTCAACGTCGTAAATCGTCACTCTAGGTGCTACCCAAAGTAACGTCAGCGTAACACCACGATTAAGAAAGTGACGTGCTCTTTATACGCGTGAAATGATCACACTGTTGATTTGCCATTCGTCACCAAGTGCATAGTGTTCAGCTATTAGTGGCAAGATTGTGGATTCGACGTTTCTAATAAAGTAACGAAATTATCAAATCTGATGATTGTCAACACCGATGAAATAGCTGCCTCAGAATAAGAGGGTTCCAAAAGTAAGACTGAATTCATGTTGCTTGCTTGACGAAGTTTCTAGATGAATCTTTTCAAAGAAAAACGGGGACCGTCACATTTGGAACAATCTGGAAGGCTTTACTCCATCCCCTGCAAAATTGTCAGTTGAGGTTTCCGGTTTCTGTGGTCAAGATATCAGCAGCAAGTAATCAATAAGAATGAAGTGAAGTTGCTGAGTACTATAAAAGCAATCAGTTTAATTAGAAATTTCCAGTTTGATTTAGCAGAATTCAGTCCTTTGCTGCTTAGTTTAAAGTTCAGAATATTAGCCTGAAATGCAAATGGTCTCCAAGTTTACATAAATGACAGGCATAGATTAACCGAACATTTTCTCATTCTACTTAAACAGGTATCTAATTTTGTAAAAACGTTGCCTCTGGTAAGAAGCTGGATAACTAGGCGGAACCATTCATATCAGCTTCCAAGTCACCATTCTTCACAATCCTAATTCCATGGCCTTGCAACTATTTGATTTTAAGTGATGATTACGTAATCTTGAAACAATCAGCTGACCACCCAACAGTGGTCAAATTCATCAGATCTTGATGCAATGAGAAACGTTCAGCAGGGAATCTATTGCAGTTTCTCTCACTGTTATTTGTTTATTACCTGGGTGGGAAGTAATTTGAACCACACTACTAACGTCAGCAAGCTATTGCGGTGAGATAAAATGCGTCATAAAGGCAAGCTATATGCATGAATATTTCTAAGTGTAACTATTACCCGTAATCTATAACTAAACACGCCTGTGAGTGTGCTCTCACAACAAGAACACTTACTTCAGCATTGATCTAGATACAATTATGTTTCATTTAAAAGGTCGAACTCAACCTGAGTTGTGTAACTACCTTCTTGGTAATAACAAAAATGTCACTGAAAGTACCTGTTGAAAATTTCGATGCTGGTAACCGATTTCTTGACATGATTTCCTTGAACGCTTCTTTCATTTCTGCACCATCGATGAATTTAAAATGCTCCTCAAGTGCCGACTTATTTTTCCCAATTTCCGTCGCATATCTTTTACAAGATTCAAATAATCGGGTAAATCTATCTGCAATTTGAATAGTCTCAGGAAGTGCATTCAAGTGAAGTTCAGCATCCCAAGTATTTTGAGCATCCAGTGGTGTGAGGTTGAATAGCTACAGGGGAGGAGAAACGCAAATTTCTGACTGGACACTTCTAAAAATGTTCTGTATGAGATAGTGGGAGGTTAACCAAATGTGAGAACATGGGCCACAAATAACGGAACAAACGATAACCTTTTCCTTTAATGCGTAGACCCCAATTATTTTAATTTTGCAACACATCCTGCAACAGGCACGGCACTTCTAACAGATCAGGGCTGAGCAAAACCTATAGATAGTCTTTTAGCGTAACCCTAGCATTAGGTAGACTCAGGAGGAGGAGGAGTGGGTCAGAAGTACTTTTACTCAGTTCACTTCCAGATGGCTCGTAACTCAATTTGACATAGTTGTATGCTGAACACCGGTTGATACCAAGGTGTGGAACAACATGAGCCAAATAGTATCCAACACTATTTACCCATAGTTAGCCCGCACCAAGGAATGAAAATCCACATCAGTTTGTTCGGCTATGCAATGGGTGATTTAGTCATGGTTAGTATGTTAACTAAATCGAATGCCCGTTTAAAAATACACGTCGAACTTCTGTGTCGAAAATTGCAGGTTTTTTCAACAGGTAAATTAAAAGATAGGAAACTTTGCAAGTTTGTAACTACATCTTCTTTTGTCCTATCTAAGACTTGCAGAGAATTGAAGCATTCTGACCTTGACTTATTGTTCGGTTCAGAAAGTTTAAAGCTGCTAAAATCTCAATACTTTCCTGAATGGAGTGATTGTTTTTTGTTGATCATGTAATTCTCATTCGTTGGTTCACGTGGTTAAGGATTTAGACACAGCGCACTGAGGGACCACAATTCGGACTGCAGACGGATTATATATTGAAGTTAACAAGAAAAGCCAATGTATAAAATCCTGCAGGCTGTCTCTTCATCTTAGGAATTTTGTGAGGGGTTCTGCTGATTGGCATTGTGATTTACGCCAAATTCATGACCATCAATTTACTGACTGTCACCTAGAAGAGTTTAAATTTTTTATCACATTTCGCTTGGTCAGACTTATTTGATGAAGGCTGTCAGGGATGAAAGTGTTATTATTATTGTGCTTTGAGACAGACAACTCGGTAACCGTCAGGGTATGTTGCACGCCACTTCGAACTTGAGTACACCTTTCTTGCAACACTCAATTCGTGCATTTATAAATTTTACAATGTTTCATACTCTGGCAATCACCTATTGATATGCTTTCACTTATTATAGCTTATATCAATGGGTGCTATTCAGAATGCGACCCCGTAGCCACGACAAAAACAAAGTTTGAGTTCACATGCACATCACTTGCCGTAGCTGTTGGGTAAGCGGTATGTGCTTCTAGGTCACCGAAAAGTGGTGATTTAAACAAGGGGAGCATTGCAGTAACATATCATTCAGGAGATCATCACAGTCATTCAAGGCAGTAGTTCATCAACTGCTAACTCTTGCTTTCGAGCCACTTAACTTGAAGATAGTACGTTCTTTCGGTTCCATAAAATTTTCATGATGGGGAACTCTCACAGAGAATAAACTTTTTTAAAAGCTAAGAGTGTGCGTTAAGGAGTCATAAAGTCGTCTACCCAAAGAACCTGACAGTAAGTAATGCTTGCAACAGGTGAAAAGTGCTTGGAACCAACTGCGTAGTCATCGTTTTCGAAAACGTTTACGGAAGTGTAATTTTTAGTTGATCCACGAGGTGCTTGTCAACTTACAACGGTTCTCTCACTCCGGAATGATGATTGTGTCCTCAAGTAAATTCCATAACTTTTCTGGACTTTTAATGAACAACAACATAAACTGCATTACCCCAATAAATGACTTTCATGTTTCGCCGTCATCATGGGCATAACTCGCATGGCATGGGTGAAACGTTCACACTTCGATAACCACCACGCTGAGGAATATCCAGCTAACCTGCAGCCCCTCAGAAGAAACACTCAAGCACAGAGAAACTGCGCAAGTTCAACAGTAAAACTTCATTCGTCCTTTCCGAAAGTTTGCGTTCTACTTCACTAGGTATTGCGTTGAAATTGCTTCGAAAGAGGGATAAGGCGTAAATGTAAACGTTTAGTGTTTGAGGCATAAATATAACTGTTCCCAGATGTAGGCATCTGGTGAACGTAAGGAGCAGTCTGTAAAATGGAAGGCCGTAATGATTCATCTTGGGAACTGTGACTTGGGGCCATGTCGTTCTTGGTATCACTCATTGCTGTGTAAGGTTAATCCTCACTTCGGAAAAATAACTGACTGAGGATTGAGTGAAATGAATAGATGAAATACGAGCAAGAATGCCGTATATGGTTTTCTATAATTACAGGTTAATGCAAAGGTATGACAAAACGGATCTACGGAAAAGGAATGCCAGCTTCCATTTAACCAGATTTGCTGTGGAAACCGATCAAACCATCACAGTTTGTTAAATCATTGGAAGCCTTTTGGAATGAGTCCAAGTAATTATTTCTTTGTCAATCATTCATACGTTCCGGATCACACAAACCTTTGGACTTAAAAGACCCGTTATAAAGACCAAAAACAAAAACATTCTGGACGTGACTCACACCGTGGTAAAACGAACGTGCACTGAGAATTGCCCTTGATGACGAACTGGTGTAGAATTTGATGCCGTCAGTCGATTCGAACCAAGGAGGCATTCTGTTGCGAATACGCTGACCCAAACTGTGCAGCTCCTCCAATCCTCGTGGTAACAAGCCTCTATCAGTTTCATTTGCGAAAGGAACTGGATAATCACGGAATCCGGAAGGTAACATCACATTTTCGCTTGATTGTTTGAATGTAAACAAAATAACCAGCGTTACTTGTGGTGCATCATTAATAACTTGGGATCTGAAACTGATTTTACACAAAATTCGTTTTCTTTCACATTATTTTTTATCAACAATCCTATTGAGGCTATTTATCCCAGAGCTGGTGGTGACTGATCCACTGTACTATTCATATCTCCAACTTCTTAATTTCTACATCTACCTTTATTCAATGCCTGGCAAACTGCGACTTCTAGGAAAGCAACACTGCTGGTCTTTCTGATCAGTTGTAGTTTATTCATTCAGGATCTTACATTAGGATACTTGCAAACACGCTGTAGCAAGGGGGCGGCAAAGAAATACCAGTGGTTTTTCATAGTGAGATCAGTGTATTCAACAAATGGGATTATTGGACAATCATAAACTTTCTAAAACTTCATAACTTTCCTAACTGGGCTCTCAAGTTCACCATGTGAGTATGTAAAAACGCGGCATACGTGTTACACTTAAAATGCATTAACCAGATTATTGAATGAACCGACCTGGAAAGGAGTTTAGCACGAAGGTCTCGTACCCTTTGCACATCCTTTAGCGACGGGGCACGAGTCCCGTGTCTGTATATACCATTAATGTGAATGGGCTTGCAAGAATCAAGTTTCTGAAGGGTTCCATCATTGAACGGAGTAAGTCCACAATAGCGGTAGGCCGTTTTGGTGGAAAATGCAGATAAGTCAAGCTTTTTGTCTTCCAGTGAATCTAATATCGTGCCACTTTTGATGCCGATAAGAAAAGCAATAAACAACTTGATCTTCGTTAACAGTCCCATCAGCAAGCTGAAACAATAAGCAATAGGATTGATCGTCAGGAAGATGTAAGGGAAACTTGCTGTTAACTGTTTTCCGTTGCGACTTGATGGATCATGCATAACACTACTTGAATTTATACGGTTCATCGTCGCCTACTGTTACAATGTCTCTTGTAAAATGGACATATTTCTGATGTTTTTATGCAAGTTTCATGAACTTAAATTACTTAAGAAGAAGACGGTGAAATTTCCCAGCACGCAATCCTAGAACGTTTCCCGTAAAAGGGTCAATAAGTGCGTTTCACAGTGCGCACAACTACTTGCTGTGAGGTCACATAATTTGAAGTCCACCTGCGCTCATTATTTTGCCTACGAAACAAAGCAATTCAAAGCTTTAGGTCGACTAATTCTCTAAGCAGGCAGAACAGACGGTCGAAGGACTGGAAAGAATAAGTGTACTCTGTCATCTATTAGGTGGAGAGACTTTCAAGGGACCTGTTTCATTGACGTGTTGACAGAGTCAGAGAAGAAAATCTCCTAATCAGTGAGTCTATTGTGGTATAAATATGTATATATAATGCGGATTGATTTGATATTTTTGGCTTCAAGCCCATCTAACATTGCTCTCAGTTTGGGTTTAAGGGGGAATAAGCATGGCTTACTATTAGTAGCAAAGAACACATTCAGCCAAGGTAACTCAAAGTAGCAGATAAAATCAAAGTTTGTCCCTCAAAATTGAACATGACTTCGGCGTTGTAACTGTGTGATGGCTGGGTGATTTAAGAGAGTGATGGAACTTATTCTCTCGCGTATGATAGCCTAAGTATATTGGGTGGAACAATCTCAAGGACGAAGGCAAAAGGACAACTTATGAAGATCGGCTATATAGCAGATGAACCAATGGAAGGAAAGAGCACTGTGGCTCGGTTGGCTATAATAGACAGAAGATGAAATTTCAGTGGAATATTACAAAAGGGCGAATTTTTCGTTAGGATCTGACAGTCTTAGCACATCCTCTTTCTAGGTGTGTGCAGGCTTTCAGACGTGGAGTCATCTGCATTGGTATAAGTGGTTTTGGGTTAGGGCTGGATCGCCGTCTTGGTGTGCATGTGAGGGGAGCTTTTCTGTTTGCACAAGGGGCACGTGTGTGGGTGGTAATTCAGAAGTATCCAACACTATGTTCAGAGGATTTGAGTCATCCGTAGCCGGTGCAGCATAGCCAGGGCGAATTCGTCTAGCGCGACGTATACGCCGTTACCCATGCGGCACTTGACATAACCACAAGTCCGTTTCTCTCCGCCACTGCGATGTTCCTTAGTCAAAGCCGAATCACCGGGCTTATAGATGGTGTGGACGGTACCATGACGACAGTCGAATTATTGTTTCGTTTGTGATCCGTTTTTGTAGGTGTGGGCACATGAGGTAACACATCTATGGGTAAATGGATTGTACGACCAAAAAGCGCTTCCGCAGGTGAGTTACTTTTGGCACATTTGGGTTAGGTGTTGCACGGTAGCTTAACAAGCAGGTTTGAGTTATCTCCGCCGACTTTCCCTCCCCTTTAATTCAGCTGCATCTGGCGCTAGAATGATGAGTTATAGTTTGTCAGCAGCAGGCCTGACGACAGAAGTGATATAACTGTGTTGAAAGCTGATTGGCTGAGGTGATCAATCTCAGGGATCAATCTCAGGTGGTTGAGAAAAACTCGAACTGGTTGCATATATGATGGAAAGGTACTGCAATTGCACACCAACCCGAGGAAAGATCGGAGTGAGGACACGTCTGTAGTGACATTCTGTGAATTGCATCAACGTTGTCAGGATGCTGGCCAGATTTACTGAAGGTAAAATCCGAATATTTAATAGATGTAAGAAGAATTCGGTCGAGTACTGAGATTGAGCGATGAAGGGGCTCTACTCGATCACTTGGTAAGCCATGATCTGCTGGAATATATTTGGCGCTGTTTTTACTCCAAAGGAAAGACGTTTGAACTGGAAAAGACCACGGTGGGTCTTAATGATTAGAATGTCTTGAAGTCAATCGCAACATGTATTTGTAAATAAGCTCTAGCCAGGTCGAGCTTAGTAAAAAAGCCAGTAAAACCACTGAGTCTGGTAAACAGGTCTTCTGAAACCGGGAGAGGATACCAATATGAATCGAGTGTAGCATTCAAGCCTGTGGAGTAATCAGTAATCTTGGTCTTCCCATTCGTCTTCTTGACCACAACAATGGGAGCTGTCATAGAAGTATAGTTGAAAGGCTGTATAACACCTGAAGTCTGGAGACCATTGAGCGTCCGCAGATGCAAGAGCCACCCATGGTTAAAGGGCGTTTTGGCCCAAAGATGGGTTTGCTATTTGGCTTGGAATAAAGTGTGGCCTGGGTTTTGGAACAATGCCCAAAAGCATCTTGAAAAACATTAGAAAATTTTGATTGAATTCCTTGTGTAAGCTGTTTGGAAATGCTTGTGTGTGAGATACACGCTGTCACATGCAGACGGTAGAGGGACACAAAAATTTGACTGATTATCCAATCAAGACCGAACTTAATCAGATCTGAATCTGAGTCGATTATATAGGTGACATCACGTGCCTTTAATGATTTGGCATAAGGCTCACATTATGCCACCGTCCCTCAATGTGCTAAGTGGTTCCGTTGATTGGAAAATGGACGGAGCGTAACTGGAGTATGTTAGGCTTTATCGTGTATTTGCTGTTTTTTTCATTTTCGCACCAGAAATATTCAATCTGATCAGCATAGTGTCGCCAACATCTTGACGCCTGGCCGCCTGTTACTCTATTTATTTTTGATCCAATCTGACGCACGCACCTCAACCCAGCCTTTGGCGGAGCCAGTTCAGGCAGCTCGAATCAGTTCAGCTTGAATCATACAAATCCACGGATGCCTAAACCAGCCATTGTCCTTGCTATGGGCCTATCCTCGTACTCTGAGCGGACCATTTCGGCCGTGTGTATAAGCGTGAGAGGCATCCGTCAGACATGTCGGCGGATTTCACATTTTCACGACAGACCACCGGTTTCCAAAGTCCGGTTTTACAACCCGGCTCTGCGGAGACCAGTGCATCAAGGCCTAACATCCAATCCACATGCGCTAGACAAGCTACTTCAATTGCGTTTTTAGACTAAAGCTTCTTTAATTCGTACGTACGTTGACCTCACTCGTCTCGGACGCCTACGCTGCAGGTGTGAGCAGATCAGTCCCGCCGTGTACGTCAAATGAGACGACGGTGCGACATGGGGCAGAACACTGCTTCCCCAGATGTACGTTCGAGAACGGGAACACACAGAAATCCGCTCACTCATGAAGAACAACGGTGGAACTGGTCGGAACAGTGGTGAACTGGGCCGAGAAATGGTGTATATATTGACATCACGCTTATGGGCCGCTAAGTTCTTTGCGTTCGTCGGCATTGTGGAGACCAACATAATAATGATATCACTAGTTGTTATTCCTTCTTTCTAATTAGCTGTTTAGTCCTATGAGCAGAAAACAAGAAGTAAGTGTGATCGCACCACGTCCGTATGGAAGAAGTACGCCTTGCTCGTATATGATGCATCCAAATCCTTCATGGGAGACAGCAGTTTGTTCCAAACTAAAATAAATCGTTAGGGTCCTCATGAGTTTTCTGTGGATCTGAGAAGTTTTTAGACAGATTGATTCTCGGACATTTTATAAAATAAGTATTTTCGTCCTAAACTCCTTTGTAAAACAGTATATGGAGAAACTCTTGCCAAAAGACAAGCTGTTTTGGGTTTCACCAAGTAGATGGGCGCTATGGAAATTGAAGAATTGATCCATTTATATGGAGGGCTTTTGGTGAATCGAAACGAATCTATGAATATAAATTTTGACCTAACTGCATGCTTTTATAACTGATTAGATGGAGTACTAAGTAGTGTCGTTATTACAGACTTAGGCAACGGAAGTAAGGTGTTCAGGCCGGACATAGCTCATGGGAACTTTATGTCTCTTCCGAGTAGCTAATATTTGCGTAGTTAACTCCGGTATATATGTGTCATCAGCATTCTGTTTAAGGTGAAACATCTTCACATCGAAAGCATAGCCCCTATTAGTAGATATATCCTGTGATATATTTTTTGATGTACAAACAAACTGTGGTGAAGCACGCTTGGATTCTGTAGTCTTCTCCATTTCATTAGCATAAATTTTGTTATTCACCCTTTACACTCCATACGGTGCTGTTTCCTCATAATATGCGTGTGCAACTGTGGCCACAGGCCGATCCCAAACGTTGATTAGCTGTGCCCTCGAATCACTATTAGGTCAGATGCTGCTTTCTAGAGCGTTCTTTTTAATATTCTTTCAGCTTTTCGCTGTTGAACTTTCTTCTCACCCCTTGTTGCGTGCAACGTTTGGGATACGAAACTTTCTTTGGTTTCCATGGGTGGTGGTGCACTCATTTCCCACGGTAATCCAGCATCTGTGAAACAAGGAGAATGGCATTTTCTGCCAAGTTTGCAGTCAATACTGATAACACGAACCACCCCGGTTTGTCAGTTAAGGAAACCGAATACCTCAATGGAATATTATGGGACAATCCAACAAGTGATTAATTGGCTAAGCGCACCACAATTTAGGCATCGGGGAAGTTAAAAATGACTAACACCCGGTCCGATATGCGTTAAATTCGAAAAACCTTATTGATAATCTAGTTACAGATTATAAATAAACGGTTTTACTCACCGTTTATACCTCACACGATTCAGGTTTCGACTTCTGGTAAGATAGGGCCGTTTTTCGCTTAGAGATAAGAATGAAGCGATGAAAAATTTGAAGCAAAAGCAAATATGATACATCTTTGACGCGAGAAATAAACGTGGGGCTTTCGACTGTGCAGGATAATCTGTCAGGTTTACTGTGAAATGTGGTGGCTGCTCGAAGCCTCATAGTTGTCAGTTGTCGATGACGCAGATAGGAACTTACTGCTGAATAAATAGAAGTAGCCAAATTGTTAAGGCAGTTTGTATGCAGAGGCTGGCGAGATCGGATGGTCATACATTTGTCGGTTTGTTCACAAACGGTTATCATATCGAGTCGGACAAACGAACTAGGTCATTAAATGTTCTTCCACCTGGTGC